GGGCTCGGGGGGGTTGGCGGGTGAATTTGAAGAAGTCTGGCTGCAGAAGCAAAGCAACAGGCCGGAGGGAAGTTTACAAATATTAATGATAAAAAACAGAAAAACCATCTTTAAAGACGACACTTGAGCGGTTCAACATGGRGAGGACTTCTTCAGACAAAGATGAGACACTTTTCAACTTCACAATAAATGTCGAGTCGTTTTAATCTCCCGACCTCACGTCACATCKCAGAATTATCTACTGTTATTATTATTGTTTCATTAAAGACAAAAACATGCAGTATTTTAGTTACAGCAGTCCAAAATGTGGTTTGTTGCTAACAGGAAGTCCTTCACAATAAGAGTCTCAAACTAATTTTAAATATCTAAATATCAGAAGCTCATGAAAACATCTTAATACCTGAAAGTATTCAGAAGTCAAAACAACATGTTTGTGTTTCAGACTCTTATTGTGAAGGACAGGTTCTGCAGCAGTGGGGGGGGCACAAACTACACCTGGGACCACCTAAACGTGGTGCTTCAGATTTACTTCATCTGTGARCGTGGGAAAATTAAAGTTGTTTCGTCTTTGCAGAACTACCTTCACTAACTCATCCAATGGGAAATGAGATATTTTACWAACAGAGTCTGCAAATAGAAAGCCCRCTGAATATATGATGGAGGTGACACTCAGCTACTACCACACCAATTTAAGGTCTGTATTTGGAAATTATCTGACCTACAAATACTTTTGTTTGCTGTGGCAACCATCTTGAATCTGATAAAAAGTAATCAAAGCTCCGCCTTCTTTGTTTGATAACAAACAAATCAAAGCTCCGCCTTCTTTGTTTGATTACAAATTAAAGCTCCGCCTTCTTTGATTGATAACAAATTAAAGCTCCGCCTTCTTTGTTTGATAAAAAAATCAAAGCTCCGCCTTCTATGTTTGATAACAAATCAAAGCTCCGCCTTCTTTGTTTGATAACAAATCAAAGCTCCGCCTTCTTTGTTTGATAACAAAACTAAACATTCGACTTCATTTCTGTCGATTTAAACTCAAAACCTGAAAAACCAACAACTTCCACCTCAACGTTTATTTATTTTTTCCTCCTGAGTCGCCCGAACACACCACTGTCGGTGTGACTCGGGACAAGTCAGAGGGGGCGGGCACTAACGCCACATATCCCGAGGACAACTTCCCCGCCGCCGTCTTGTTCACAATCTGAGGACAAAGTACCAAAACGCTCAGGCGTTATCTCCAACACTTCCTCAATCTGACCGGTTTAAAGGACGAGGAGAGGTGCAGCGAGGAGGAGGAGGAGGAGGAGGGAGGGTATAAAAAAAAGACAAAGAGAGCCGGCGAATAAGAGGTGAAAAACGATGGTAGCTGCTGGGATTGAT